AGAGTACTGTTAACGGTTTGGGTTTTGGGAGAAACAAAGGGCATTAACTCAGATGGTATGATTTTTCACCAAAGGGAGGTCGAACGACCCTGATAGGACAATATTGTTAGTGTTTTGTAAGTTTGGTTGAACTTTCTAAAAAAGAAAGAAAAGAAAAAGAGGGGCTACTCCTCTTTTTAAATATGGTGTTCTGAGTTTAGGGAGGTTCTCATTTATAAGAAAGAAATTCAGATGAGAGAGTGTTTAGACCTCAAAACTAGTTCCATTATGATGAAAAGAGGGTCAGTAATGTTTTGCAAGTTCATATGTTTCAAATTGTACCTTAATTTTGGGGCAAATAGGAAATGATTGATCATGGTGGAGAGAGAATCTTGTATCATTTGAAGACAACTTTCTAGGAAATGCTAATATAGCAAAAATCTGAAGTGGGGGCTTGAAGCTCTTCAATAGGTGGTAAATTTTACTGCTTTTTTAGAGTAATAATTTCAGGTTTAAATTCTATAATGTTAATGAGATAGTTTCAGGGTTTTAGGTGGATCAGCCAGAAGAGACAAAAGGGCGCGTAGCCAGAGCAGAAAAAAACACTAGCTAATCAAGTGATGGAAGAGCGGTCCAATCCCAAAACAAGAGTTCTAGTTTTGTTAATTTGCATAATTCAAAAATCTAACCGTTGAGCAACGAAAACAGAGTTCCAAGTTTTGTTAGTTTATATAATCAAGAAATCCTACCGTTGAGCGACGGCAATTTGAGGGGAAAAAAACAGAAGATGACAAGTTTTTTTTTTTAATTTAGACATGACTTTATTATTTTTCTTTTTTTGAAAAAATTACAATTTTGTTTTACTTTCCAATTGATCAATAACTGTCGATTTAGTATGCTTTTTGTTTTGTGTTTTTTATTATGGGCTGCATCACATTTGATAAATAATGATCTATTGTTTTTTAAATGGTGACTCAAAATCAAAACAATAATTTGTGTTTTTTATTTTGGGCTGCAACACATTTACTAAATGATTTATCGTTTCTTAAATGGACTTGAATCCTATGTTAAATATTCTCTAAATTATCGTAAGTTGAATTCGTTACAAAATAATACGTAACATTAAAAACTTATCTACTGTTGGTGTTAAACACGTCAATTAATTTAAAGAAATTTTAAAAACTGCACCGTTTTAAGATAAGTAAAATTTACCAAAGTTTAAAAACTGCATCGTTTTGAATTAAGGAAAATTCACTATACTCTAACGACATTTAACATCGTTATCTCTCCCTCATTTTTTTCAAAAAAAAAAGATCCTCCCACTCTTTTAAATAGTAACAAATTTTAGATTTTTTTTTTTTTCCTAGTTTGGTGTACTCACACAACCCTGGTTCCAAAGGATTGTTTGTACAAAAATTTTAGATTTTAGATTTTTTTTATCATTTTATTTTTTGATTTGGGTAATACAATAAAAAGATAATGGATCCGTTAAAGCAGAATTCAACTCAACCATAGACATGGTTAATATCACTACAAATAGTATTTTGGAGCAGTAGCATAGATCAAGATATCATGCATTTATATCGTCATCATTCTACATATTGTATTAAGATTTTTTTTGCTGAAAAAAAGATTTAAACCATGCATTCAGCTGTAGCAGAGACGCGACTTATTTCAGATATGAACAAAGCGGGGAGAGAGGGAGGATCTTTTTCAGGAAAAGATGAGGGAGAGATAACGATGTTAAACGTAGTTAGAATATAGTGAATTTTTCTTAATTCAAAATGGTGCAGTTTTTAAAGTTTCTTTAATAATGTTAATTTGATTTTACACTAGCAGTAGATAGATTTTTAATGTTATGTATCATTCTATAGGGAATTCAACTTACGATAAGTTAGAGAATCTAAGTCCTTTTTAAATAGTATGACAATTAAAATCTATGTACTGGTATTAAACCACATCAACTAATTTAAAGAAAGTTTGAAAATTGCACCGTGTTGAGATAAAGAAAAATTTACCAAAGTTTAAAAACTGTACCCTTTTGAATTAAGGAAAATTCACCTTAAACGTTTAACGTCATTATCTCTTCCTCATCTTTTCTAAAAAAATTATCCCTCCTTCTTATCTTAAATAAGTTGCGATAGTCTCTGTTTCTATTTTAACCTCGTTCTCTCTCATCTTTCATCTCTCCTCTTCTTTATTCCTATCTTAAACAAGTCACGATGGTCTCTGTTTCTCTTTTAACCTCACGTTCTCTCTCATCTTTTTTATATATAGGGATTTTGGTTGTATTTTCCTAACTCCATTAATATCCATGCATATATATATATATATATATATACACACACACATTCTTTTTCAATCATTACTATTGCACTAAAAGTTGCATGTATTTTTGTCCATCTTAATTATATGGCAAAGAACATTCACGAAATATTCCCCCAATCGTGTATATCTCCTTATGCCCTTCTATTCATAATTTTTTTTTTATTTTTATAAAATAACCCATTAAGGAAAAAAATATATTTCGTATATACATATTCCCCCAATCGTGGGAATGAGCAAGAGGAGAGAGGGATAAATTTTTTTTTTTTGAAAAAGATGAGGGACAGAGGGAGAGATAACGACCTTAAACGTCATTAGAGTATGGTGAATTTTTCTTAATTAAGAACGGTTAATTAAGAACGATGCAGTTTTTAAACTTTCTTTTAATAAATTTAACACCAGCAGTAGATAGATTCTTATGTAGTGAATCCAACCTAGGATAATTTAGAGGATATTTAACTTAGAGGATCAAGGCCTTTTTATTTTGGGTGGCAACTCATTTGGTAAATAATGATCCGCTGTGTCTCAAATAGTGACTCAAAGTTTAAACACTAATTTGATATTTGTGTTAATTACAATGACACCCCCTGAGACTTGTCATAATGACAGTCATATACAAGTTAATCTCTTTTTGAACAATGAGACCGACCCCCTTAAGTTTAATAAAGTTAACAAGGATACCCCACACAAGCTAAAATGACCTTAATGCCCTTTCACTTGTGAATTAACCCATTTGAATTATAAAATTACCTTTTTAACCTTTCTAATCATTTCAATTGACCAATTTAGCCCTCAAACCACCACAAAAGTTGAGAAGCCCAAATTATTAGGTAGTCTTGGGACCACCAATCTATGGTCTTGGACAATCCTAGCCACATATCTAAGAAAATATGTCTTTAGCATTACACATCATTGCCATCTATCTTCTCTCTCCTCCCAACTTCCTCTTTACACATATTCAATCAGCTCTGTGATCAGATTCAATCAGTTCACATCCTCATTGTCAACAACATCAGCCTTTCGTCATCTCCATCCTCCAAGAACCCCTTAAGTAGCTCCTCCTTAGTTGCCGCCCCAACTGCCTCTTCACCGACACATTCCACTGCAGGTCCGGTGGTTCCCCAACGTCGTTAACGCCATCGGCATCCTGCGAATCATCTTCAATGGCAGTTATTGATTCGCTCGTGTCTGCGTAGGCGAAGGTCGAGTTGTTGGCGGCGGCAGTGAACCCCCAAATTGAGGCGTGGTTGCCTATGGCAGAACACGAGGTCATCACGGAGATGAAAGTCATCGCTAAGAGATCCGGTGAGTTGAAGAACGAGATCCTTCCTGACGCCGACCTAGCTGGCTACAACAATTCCAACGATCGCTTATCTTGTAACACCGGCGGCCGCCTCGAGTGCATCGGCCTCGGCGGCGCCACCCTCGCCCATACCACAGGTGTATTAAGTGACCAAATAAATTTTTTTTCCTTTCTTCCTAAGTTCTCTCTAAACTCTCCATCCTCCTAAAAGCACCTACCATACCACCGCTACCCACATCCACATCCACCACTTCTCTTTATATATATGTAACCATAGTTGCCGTCGACGTCGCAAATGCACCACCGCCGTGTCATCCCCGCTGCTAGCTAGTCACCATCATCGGAGCCCAATCTCGTCGCCCTCGTCGTCACCATCACCGGAGCCCAAGAGAAAGACTTGCAAAAGTTCCAAATGATCTAATCTTCTCTCATCTCAACCGATCTCATGAACTATGAATGTTTCCGTCAAAATTTTGAATCCAAAGGTTGTGGGTGAAGAGGTGGTGGTTGGGTGGTGGCTGCGATGGTGAGTGATTTGGTGGGTTTGGGTAGACAGGGGTGATGAGGGAAGAAAAAATGGGTGGCTGATATTGATCTCACACAAAGGGTAATTTGGTTTTTAAAGAGTTTTGAATCTTTTGATATTTTATCATTAATAGTAATAAAATATTAAAGGACAATTTCGACTTTTCATAACCTTTTAGGGGTTGCTTGGATGCAATTCTTGATAAGGGGGTGTCATTGTTCAAAAAAGCTCTAACTTGTATATAGCTGTCAATATGGCAAATCTCAAGGAGTGTCATTGTAATTAACCTTAATATTTTTATATATTTGTGTATAACAACAACATTGTAGCGATGTACCAAAAAAAAATTTAAAAATTCTGAAATGACATTTTAAATTAGCCTTTATATTTGATATTTTTACATATTTCTGCCCGCTATGAGCAATACCAAATTTTTATAACAAACATGTTTTTATATTTTTTGTTTCAAAAAAGCAAAAAACTATTTTTGGGATGGGATTAAAACTAAGCGTGAAAAGTGAGAGGTCCATGAGGGTTAAAATAGTAAAATCATATTAAAAAAAACTATTAGACAATGATCAAAACTTATGTGCAAATTGAATTCTTGTACTATCTTATTTCATAATTGATTCACGTTTTTTAATTAAAGACTTTTAATTCAACTAGTCTAGTAATACTACGTAATAAATAAAAATGACCATATAATAATTCCTTTACGCGTAGACCCAACTGAACACAGGACAGAGTCGTTGTACTTGATGGGTCTTTCCACGTGTTGACTGTGGGACCCATCTCTATAAATTCCGAACAATTTCTCCAAAATTAAGCCCGCCAACATCATGCTGTGCACATCCGCGTTGGATTCTGCACTAGAGTTTTATTACCTTTTGATCTCATGGTGGAGAGAGAAGACGTGTGAATTATCCAAAGATTCTCTCTCTTCCTCTTTCTCAGTGGTCGATTTTTTTTTTATGGCGTTATTTTTTATTTTGTGATCTAACGAGGGAAAGGAAAATGGTGAGAATCGAACCAAACTCCCAACGACAACAGTGGACCACACACGGTCACCTACTCATGGTGATGCTCATCAATTCGTTCAGTTCCTCTGAAAACTCGTCACTATTAAAGGTAGAAGACGTGTGAATTATCCAAAAAGAAATTAAAAAAAAAAAAAAAAAAAAAAAATTATCCACAAAGAGTGTGGGTCCCACGATAATTAGTTGCGTCACGAATGTTTCTTGCAGTTTCAATTGAAATAGTAGCAATCAGATTTTTCTGCTGCCGACGGAAAGATTTTGAGTTCATATATATATATATATAGAGAGAGAGAGAGAGAGAGAGAAAAAAAATGTCTACGGTGACTATTCCTCCTGTTTTGACTACGCCTCGTGATGATGCTGCCCAATTGTACCGGGCTTTTAAGGGTAAACTTTAATTTCTTGTTATGTTGATGATACACACACAGCCCAAAGGCTACTACTCATGTCTGTGAATTTCATGCTATGTTATGTGTTTTTTTTTTTTTTTTAAATATGTTTTCAAAATGTTATTTTATAGTGTCCCTTTTACTCTTAGAATGATTCAGCCCTTGTAATTTATCAGAGAATGTGTATTATGTTATCTGTGATGCTTAAATAGCAGTGAACACACATAATCAAAGTTGTATTAGGAACAGAGTATCAAAGAATTAGCGAATTTTAACTTTTAATGTAGACTAGTGGCTTAGGGTTTGGACGGGTGGGATGCAGAGTACTGTTAAGGGTTTGGGGGAAAAACAAAGGGCGTGTCACTGAAGGCATTAACTCAGATGATATGATATCTCTTCACCAAAGGAGGTCGAAGGCTGTTAGGGACAATATTGTTGGTGTTTGTAAGTTTGGTTGAATTATCGAAAAAAAGAAAGAAAAGAACAAGAGGGGCTACTGCCTCTTTTTAAATATGGGGTTCTATGAAAGAAATTCAGATGAGAGAATGTTTAGACCTCAAAACTAGTTCCATTATGATGAAAAGAGGGGTCAGTAATGTTTTGCAAGTTCATTTGTTTCAAATTGTACCTTAATTTTGGGGCAAATAGGAAAGGATTGATCATGGTGGAGAGAGAATCCTGTATCATTTAAAGACAACAGTCTAGGAAATGCTAATAAAGCAGAAATCTAAAGTGGGCTTGAAGCTCTTCAATAGGTGGTAAATTTTACTGCTTTTTTAGAGTAATAATTTCAGGGTTAAATTCTATATTGTTAATGAGATAGTTTCAGGGTTAATACAGAAATAATTTGCTAGAAAATGTTGACCTCTACAGAATTTTTAGTGTAATAATTTCAGGGTTAAATTTTATATTGTTAATGAGATAGTTTCAGGGTTAATACAGAAATAATTTGCTAGAAAATTTGACCTCTACAGAATTTTTAGTGTAATAATTTCAGGGTTAAATTCTATATTGTTAATGAGATAGTTTCAGTGTTAATACAGAAATAATTTGCTAGAAAATTTTGACCTCTGCAGAATTTTTAGTGTAATAATTTCAGGGTTAAATTCTATATTGTTAATGAGATAGTTTCAGGGTTAATATAGAAATAATTTGCTAGAAAATTTTGACCTCTGCAGAATTTTTAGTGTAATAATCAGGGTTAAATTCTCTATTGTTAATGAGATAGTTTCAGTGTTAATACAGAAATAATTTGCTAGAAAATTTTGACCTCTACAGAATTTTTAGTGTAATAATTTCAGGGTTAAATTCTATATTGTTAATGAGATAGTTTCAGGTTTAATACAAAAATAATTTGCTAGAAAATTTTGACCTCTACAGAATTTTTAGTGTAATAATTTCAGGGTTAAATTCTATAATGTTAATGAGATAGTTTCAGGGTTAATACAGAAATAATTTGCTACAAAATTTTGACCTCTACAGAATTTCTAGAGTAATAATTTCAGGGTTAATACAGAAATAATTTGCTTCAAAAATTTGACCTCTACAGAATTTCTAGAGTAACAATTTCAGGATTAAATTCTATATTGTTAATGAGATAATGCAGAATTAGTTTGCTACGGAAATTTGACCTTTACAAAATTTCTAGTGACTTATATATGCTGTGATATTGTTTGTTTAGGATTTGGCTGCGACACTGCAGCAATTGTCAATATCCTTGCCCATAGGGATGCAACGCAGCGCCCTTATATCCAACAGGAGTACAGAAATATGTATTCTGAAGAACTTAACAAACGCTTGTCTTCAGAGCTCAGTGGCAATGTAAAGGTATAAAGGAGAATTGAGCATCAATTTTTCACTCCCTTTCAATGAGTCTTTGATCCTATTATAATTTACTTTCCGCATTGATCATATGGAAGTTTTAAGTGCTGCTAATTGGAATACTGGGTAATTTGCATTGGATCAAAATTTAAATTCTGAAACGGGTGGAAATGTGGTGCGTCTATTGTTTCTATATGCAGTGGTGCATCCAATATTATTACAACTATTGTTATGTTAAATGGTTTCAGAAAGCAGTCTTACTTTGGATGCATGATCCGGCGGGACGCGATGCAACAATAGTGAGGGAGGCTTTCAGTGGAAACGTCATTGATCTTAGAGCTGCTACTGAAGTGATATGTTCTCGTACTTCAACCCAGATACAACAAGTTAAACAAATTTACCATGCTACATTTGGTGTTTACCTTGAGCATGATATTGAATTCCAAGCATCTGGTGATCATAAGAAGGTATCCCTCTCTCTCTCTACACCTAAGAAGCACACACATTCAAGCCACGTTCCTGTTTTATAATGTTAGGATCGCACACATGCTATTGGCAAATAAAATAGATAAAAGCACCCACAAGCAAAAGGTAAATTGTGGTCCACGGGCGAAGAATGACTATCTTTATTTCAAAACTTGATTACACACTCTCTCTTCTCACAAACTCAATTCAACTTTTTTCCCTCTACAATTATTTTTCCCTCTCTCTACCTTTCTACCCAAACCCATCTCTATTTATAGAGTCTTCAAAACCCAATTCGTTGTTGTATAAGAATTTCACAACTTGACTTCAAGGAGTTACCATATCAGTCACAATTCTAAAATAGAAGCATCCCAAACGGAAAAAGAAACTAATTTAAATTTTGAACCACAAACCCAACATATAATTATGTTGCTAAGCTCCTTTATTTGTTTTAATTTTGAAGGGAGATTTAGTTTGCAATTGCTTGTCTCCTTAAGCAAAATGTTTTCGTGTTTGTGATGGAAACTAAAACTGAAGTTCTTTGAAAAGGTTTTTTTTTTTTTTTTTTTTTTTTTTTTTTTGTTTTTTTTTTTTTTTTTTTTTTAATCCCTTTTTTTTCATGTTCGGTTTTTAGGTAAATGGGAATTTCCTCTAAAAATCTATCTATCTATCTTTGTAGTCAAGTAGCTCTCTATAACTCTTGAAAAAATCTTTCATGTTTTAAAATTTTATGTTGTGAATTTTTCGTTTAGTTTATCATATATGTATCCCTCTCTGTCTACACCTAAGAAGTGCACACATTCAAGCCACGTTCCTGTTTTATAATGTTAGGATCGCACACATGCTATTGACAAATAAAATAGATAAAAGCACGCACAAGCAAAAGGCGAATTGTGGTCCGTGGGCGAAGAATGACCATCTTTATTTCAAAACTTGATTACACACTCTCTCTTCTCACAAACTCAATTCAACTTTTTTCTCTCTACAATTATTTCTCTCTCTACCTCTCTACCCAAACCCATCTCTATTTGTAGTCTTCAAAACCCAATTCCTCCTTGTATATTCACAACTTGGCTTCAAGGAGTTACCATATCAGTCACAATTCTAAAATAGAAACATCCCAAACAGAAAAAGAAACTAATTAAATTTTGAACCACGAACCCAACATATAATTATGTTGCTAAGCTCCTTTATTTGTTTGGATCTTGAAGGGAGATTTAGTTTGCAATTGCTTTTCTCCTTAAGTAAAATGTTTTCATGTTTGTGATAGAAACTAAAATCTGAAGTTCTTTGAAACGGTTTTTTTTTAATCCCCTTTTTTTCATGTTCGGTTTTTAGGTAATTGGGAATTTCCTCTAAAAATTGAGATTGAAACTCATCTTCATCTATCTTTGTAGTCAAGTAGCTCTCTCTAACTTTTGAAAAAATCTTTCACGTTTTAAAATTTTATGTTGTGAATTATTAGTCTAGTTTATCATATATGTAATTTTTTTCATCTTTGACCTTCTATTATTATGCTAGTGTCCTTCCATCTCGAAATGAAGACCAGTGTTCACTATAGTGATTTGTTTGTTTAAATTACTTATTGTAGTTGCTCCTTTCATGTGTAACTACACCTCGCTACGAAGGCTTTGAAGTTGATAGAAAGATGGCAGAGACTGATGCTAAAGCTCTCTTTAAAGCTGGGGAGAAGAGATTGGGAACTGATGAAAAGATTTTCATACGCATTTTCAGTGAAAGAAGTAGGGCACATTTGGCTTCTGTTAGTTCTGCTTACCACAGCATTTATGGGGACTCACTAGAAAAGGTACAGCATCCAGGGAGGGATGTAAGCCACTGGATTTTTTAATTTTTATTATACACCTATATATTCTGTAAAATCTAAAATAATGCCCCCACTAAAATTATGAAATGAAAGAAAAAAAAACCCAGTATAAAAATATTCCCACTGCCGCTAAAATTATGAAATGAAAAAAAAAAAAAAAAAAAAAAAAAAAAAAAAAAAAAACCCAGTATAAAAATATATCCCCACTGAATTTTGGCTCTCTATTATCGTGGTGAGTTGTTTTATGCCATCATAAATATGCAATTTCAAGAGCTAAATAGTCATTTTACTGAAGCAAATTCTGAGTTGCTGCTTTGTATGACATGCATATGCTTGGATGATTCATTCACTGGTTTTCTGAAGCGAATGTCTTGCTCAATTTTATCCAAAAGAATTTTCTTCAATTGTTATCATGAAACTTGACAATTAATTGGAGAGTTATATTATGGATGCGCACTCTAGTAACGAATTTGAAGGATTTAAAGGGATTTGTGATCTTGCAAAAAGAAAAAATGGTTGCAACCAAAAAAGACAAGGTGCATTCGTTAGTTTATTAGCTTGTGGCACTGGCATTGATCCTACCAGCTGCCACTGCCACCATAGAGAGGGCATTTTTTCCTACCGTGAATATTGTAAAGAATCGATTGTACAATCGGAGATATCAATGGATGAGTGATGGTTTGATAGTGTATGTTGAAAAAGATATATTTAGTAGCCATAGATAATGAAGCTATCATATGACGTTTTCAAAACATGAAAACTCGTCATGGATAATTGTAAAATATTGTCAATGAAATTATCAATCAATGTTAAAGTTCTCTTATTTATTATATTTTGAAAATATATATATATATATATATATATATATAGAGAGAGAGAGAGAGAGAGAGAGAGGGCATTTTTTCCTACCATGAATATTGTGAAGAATCGATTGTACAATCGGAGATATCAATGGATGAGTGATGGTTTGATAGCGTATGTTGAAAAAGTATATATAAGTTCTTGTTGTCTAAACTCTAATGTAACCCCACCTCAAATAATAATTTTCTGGCTCTGGCTCTGGCACTGGCACTGGCAGCATGCTTGAAATTATTGCCTAAAACAACTCAATTAATTGCAGGCAATAAAAAGTGAAACATCTGGGAACTTCAGGTTTGGCCTTTTGACAATCTTACGGTGTTCTGAGAATCCTGGGAAGTACTTTGCAAAGGTAATTTATCATATTCCTCCCAAACTTTCTGTCCTGCAAGAGTATGGAGCCATATAATCTTATCATGCTGAAGCACCGCAATTTTCTTAGTTCTACAAATGCAAATTTTGCAGGGTTTGCGTAAGGCAATGAAGGGCTTAGGAACTGATGACACAACACTTTTTAGGATAATAGTGACGAGAGCTGAGATTGATATGCAATATATAAAGGCAGAGTACCAGAAGAAATATGGGAAAAGATTGAGTGATGCCGTTCATTCAGAGACATCAGGCCATTACAAGACATTTCTTCTTTCTCTCTTAGGCCCCGACCACTAAACAAGGTATCAGAAAGGGCATATGTAACCTAGGATGTCGATCTTGCTTGACTGTTTTTGATTGAGAGTCCATGAATTCAGATAGGATCTGAGACTGTCATTTGCTGTTTTGTCCACAACTAATTTCTATATATTTGTTGAACTTTTTTCCAGAGCGCTCGTTATATATAGCACCAGTGTTGACGATTTGCTGAATATGCAGAAATTCCCTACAGTTTCTTGTGTACCTGCTGTGTGTATTAGTTTGAAAATAATGTAGTGTCTCTGTAAAGTAACTGAATGACTTTTCTTCTTTTGATTGTTAGGTGATGGTTCATGTATTTGTATGTGCTTCAAGTGTTGTATTGACAGTAGTCATATGCTTTCTGTTTATACAAATATTTGTCACCAGAAAACAACTCAAGTGTGTGTGTGGAGAATATGGGGCATTCAGCTCTGTACTATTGTTGTTATAGATTATGTAAGAAAAATGTGCAGGTTTCTTGGGTGCCATTGTTATTTTGTGGCCTGCATTGGTGGACGAGATTATCGATAAACTAGTTATTTTTAGAAAATAATTATTGTTATGTTTGAGAGTACCGAATCGGTTCCTTGGATTTGGAATTGGAAGAAGTTTGGTTCAAATTTTGTGTTAAATTTTGTCCAATCCCAAATCCAGGCACCAATTCGGTGCCACCAAACACCAATGTTTTCTTGATTCCTAACTAGTTAAGAGTCTATTGCTAATATATTCATTATCTTAAAATAAATCAATGTGTTCTTCATTCACAACTGATTAATTAGCTTCTTGCTCATATACAATGATCATATTTACAGTTTTGTCCTCCCATTGTGAAGCTATTAATGCTAAAATAGCTTGATTCTAGTGCAGGTAGAATGATTTTATTAAGGCTCTGTTGGCCTAGAGCCGCTGATGAACCATTCTGCTTTATGGGCTCAAATTACCAAAGGAGCTTGTGGAGCATAAGGAATGGAACTGAGAAAATACGTGAGGATCCTAAAAACAATCGCATTTTCTGAAAATAGATTTAAGTAAAAAAAATAAAAAAATTAAAAGAAAGAAACATAAGTGAATTTTGAAGTATTTGATTTAATTATCCAATAACTATTTTGCAAGAATTCTTAAAACAAAATCTGAAAAAGTGTGTTCATAAAATTGAATTTCTCTTCCCTTTTAAATGAATAGCTATTTTATTTTATTTTATTTTAAAAGAGTAATAACTTGACTCGTCGGTATCTGACAAGCTATAGGCTCAACTCAACAGCTGTGGTTGGCTTGGCCCCCATAGATCATGTGAGACACACACTGAGGATTACCGGTCCATGGACACCTTCTTCCTAAACCAAGCAATCTTGATGGCCATAAGTGAGTATTTCAGACTTGGATTCTCTAAGTTAAATATTTTTTAAGTTATCCTAAGTTGAATTCGTTACGGATTGACACATGACATTTAAAATCTATTTATTGTTGGTGTTAAATCACGTCAACTAATCTAAAGAAAGTTAGAAAATTGCACCGTTTTGAGATAAGAAAAATTTACTAAAGTTTAAAAACTCCCTATTAAATTAAGAAAAATTTACCATACTCTAACTATATTTAAAATCATTATCTCCTTCTCTCTCTTCTTGCTCATTCCCACTATGGGGGAATATTTCGTGCCAAAAATGAATGTTTTTTGCCGTGGAATTAAGATGGACGAAAATGTGATTGCAAGACATGCAACTTTTATCGGCAATAGTAATGATTGAAAGAGAATATATATATATATAAAGGCATGCATATTGATGGAGTTAGGAAAATACAACCAAAAGCCCTATGTATATATAGAAAAGATGACGGGTTAAAAGATAAACAGAGATTATCGTGACTTGTTTAAGATAGGAATAAAAAGGATAGAGAGGGATACGTAGTTAGAGTATAGAAATTTTCCTTAATTCAAAAGAGTGCATTTTTTAATATTTAACTTAGATATCCAAGTCACCAGACTCACCATCAGTAAAGAGATTTTAAATATAATCCTCCAACCTGGCCGATGTTATAACTAATAAGATAAGAAGACTATCATATCTAAAGCGGATATCTTCCTGATTAGTAACATACATAAATGATACTCCATATTAAAAAGAAAAGAAAAAAAAAAAAAAATTATAACTTGATCATGAACTTGATTAATAATTTATAACTGTAAATAACTATAATTATATTATATTATATCATAATTTTAATATTAGATATCAGCTAATATATCTTGATAAATTACAATACTTTGTCATGATTTTGCCCATCCTTTCTGGAAACATCCCTGATTGGGAATTGGGGGGAGGGTTTTGGAGTTTCCTTGAAAATGAGATTTAAATTGTTGAAAGTGACAAAAATGACCATTAGCTTGAAAATGGGTTTTAAAGTGTCTTTTCACAATTGTTTTCCTTCACCAGAGATACAAAAGTAGAAGGAAAGAAAATATTAAACAATTTTTTGAGAATTATTTTGTGTGTGTGTGTGTGTGTGTGTGTGTGTGTGTGGAGCTCAGAGAATTATTTTATGAAAAGCTTATTTGTAGTCAATGCGGTTAATCAGGCTGCATTTTGGGAAAAACCATAGTAGTCCATTTTATTAGGATCTAAGACATTTTTGAGTTGGTTGGTCAACAAATTCACCTAAAATTTAATCAAAACTAATAAATAAAAAACCTTTCATGAATATGATGATACAACACATACAAACAATTGGTCAACCATATGAGCATGTGAATCAAATATTACCCACCCCTTGGACTTAAAAACAACTAATTTCCTAGAGACAAGGATTGCCTCCAAATTTAGAGACTTTATGAGGCACCACAAGCTGTACTCATTGGTTATTATTATTATAGTGAGAATAAACCAAGTATCTTCCCATTCCATCTCTTATTTAAAACTTATTTCAGCTTCAAAGAAAATCCTTAGAGTCATGGCTTTTTTCTACAAGAACACCTTGTCTATGTGCCTTCAATTGACTACAATTTTTTGCATTTGTTTGGTCACCACTTTCTCTGAGCTCCACAGGTTTCAACACAAGTTGAAAGATGCTGGATCACTTAAGTTCTTGGTGGTTGGAGATTGGGGCAGAAAAGGGTTGTACAACCAATCTGAAGTCGCTTTTCAGGTCCTAATTAGTAATTACACCTTCTTTGTTTTTGAGAAATTATTTGATTTGGGAGACTGATATGCATTTGTCCAGATGGTACGATCTCTCTTCCCTAAATTTTATAGATGAGAAAAGCGTTTGCCTGAAGAACCCTAATTCGAGTCCAGAAACAGTCATTTTGTGCAAATAATGTCAAATGTGCAGATACTGTCAAATGAACATATTTGTGCAATTACTAACATTATGCTGATTATGCTTTCATAAAGCCCCTCTATAACAGGCAAAAAAACTCATTTATTCAAGTAGATATTTCAATAGTATGATAGCAATGTAATCATTAATTAGTTGCTATTATTGACTGCAGATGGGAAGGGTTGGACAGGAACTAAATATTGAATTTGTGATCTCCACTGGAGATAATTTCTATGATAATGGATTGACCAGTGTAAATGACCCAGCATTTAAGGAGTCATTTACACAAATCTACAGTGCAGAGAGCCTACAGAAGCAGTGGTATGCTGGTAAGTTCTCATGGAGAAAACTGTGCGTGTGTGTATGTGCGATAACATGAATTTATTTATTTTTTATTTTTTTCCTGGAAACATGGAACCCTTTCAACCTAATGACCTTTTGGTACACGAGGATGAAACCTCGGATATGTATACACCCACAAACCACACGTTATCATTTAAATTCAGGTGCTTTTGGGCTATGTTTGTCTAATTCAGTGGTATGCTGGTAAGTTTTCATGCAGAAATCAGTGTGAGATACAATGAACATTTTTTAAAAAAAATTTAACGAAGAATCAACTCACCCGTCAGCCACTTTGGACTCTAGGATTATTATTTTTTTGACTTGCACTGAATTTTTGTGCAGTTTTGGGCAATCATGATTACAGGGGTGATGTGAAGGCACAATTAAGTCCTGTGCTGAGGAAGATTGATCGAAGATGGCTTATCCTGAGATCTTATGTTCTTAATGCAGGTGAAATCTATTTATTTACCGTTAAGAGTTTTAATCATTGAACTCAATCATCAAATGACTATCTATATATATATATATATATACACACACATCATATTCTCATCACTTCTTGACACAATATTTTCACTAGGAATTGCTGAATTCTTCTTTGTGGACACCACTCCTTTTGTTGATGTCTATTTTGATGACCCTTTACACCATAGATATGATTGGCGAGGAATATCTCATAGAGAGACTTACCTTGCTAGACTTTTGAAGGTAAAATTATTCATTCGTGAAAGCTTTCTTTAATGTATCTTGAAGCACAATTTCACGAGGAAAAAAATTGTATTAATCAGACTTTAAATTGATGCTAATTCTGCATAAAGGATTTGGAATCAGCATTGAGCAGTTCAAAAGCTAAGTGGAAGATTGTTGTTGGTCATCATGCAATGAGAAGCGTAAGTCACCATGGCGATACTCAAGAAGTCGTTGAGAGGATCCTCCCCGTACTCAAGGTAATTTGGAAATAACTTAAAGACTGTTTGGTTCAGTTTTTTGAAAACAATTCTCAAGAATTCATTAACATCAGAGAACTATATTTTAGTTCTATGAAAACATACATTTTCCTAACTAAGTTCTGAAAAACACAATCTTCAAAAAAGCTGATAAACAACCTTTTGTAACTGTTATTAGAAAATTTAATCTATAATTTACTTTAATTCGCTCGATCTCACACACAAATATATGTATGAATGTATCCGTATATATATGTGTGTGTGTGTGTGTGTGTGCGCATTGCCTGGAACACCTTAGCTAGTGCTAATATGGCAAACATGTTGGAATATTCTTTATAGAATTGACTTTGAGTTCTAATGCAACATATATGTATTTGTTTGTATGAATGCACAATTTTCAGGCCAACAATGTTGATATGTATGTGAATGGGCATGATCATTGCCTGCAACACCTCAGTTGCTTGGACAGGTAAGACTGATCAAACCTTTTGTCATTTTTACTTCACATATACATATATATAACACACACATTAGTGTGTGTGATTGACATTACTAATGAAATTCATTCTGTGTTGTGCAGTCCAATCCAATTTATAACAAGCGGAGCAGGTTCAAAGGCATGGAGGGGTGATGTTAAAGATCATCACAACCGTTGCGCGATAAACTTCTTTCATGATGGACAAGGCTTCATGTCAGTGCAGATGACACAGACTAACGCAGAAATGGTGTTCTATGATGTGTTTGGCAAGGTTATTTATCGATGGAACGTTGCTAAGCAGCTCGTCTCTTCCATGTAAATATTTGCTGAGAGGAAGACATATAAACTATAAAGTATACAAGCATAATATATATAGTGATTCAGATGTGTTAATTTGAATGTTTTTGTACCATTACTGGATTCTCCATATTTATTCATGGCCTTATGGTCCTCTGTGGCCTATACATATGTTTGACCTTGTAGAACAAACACTATATGTACAAAAGAGATGCATGTATTTTACATGTATATGAAGCATAAACATAGAGTTTTCCTTTTCTTTTCTTTTGATTTTTATTAAATATGTATTATAGTTTTATGGACTGCTATAGGTGTAAAATGGGATGTTAGAGTGGTTCTTAACAAATCTTCATTGCTCCCGTAGATATTGGCATACTGCTCAGATATTGTTGGCTTTAAGCTACACAAGGGACTCACGGTTTTCAAAACGTGTTTATAGGTAGGAGGCATTCCCCTTGTAAAAATAACTTCATTTGTTTATCGAAATAGAAAGGTGATGTTTATGAATTTCACCATTTTTTTTTTGTTTTTCGGAATTGTTGCATACGGAGATTTTAGTTGGGTCCATTTGCATCACATGCGCTTTTATTTAATGTGTTTAGGGATTGATATATGTACATATATGATTGTAGTGTGGATTAATAAGAAAAAGAAAAGAAAATTTATTATGTAAGTGGGACCCACCATTTTAATCAAGAAAATGAGTCCAGAGGTCGATCTTTGACCTCATTTTCTCACCTTCTCTCTATCTATACGGGCCTCTGTTTCTCTCTATTCTCTTTTTCTTTTTCATTTTAGCTTCAAACTTCAATTTCTCTCAAACCGTTGAGTGATTTTAGATGTCGTTTGCGGCAAATTGAAGATCACGCCGAGATTTACGAATTGATCGGAGCAATTTAATGTTTGGTGCACTTTGGAATTTCGAGATCTAGGGCTCACAATTTGGGGGTTTTTGCTTATTTTGAAGTAGGGGTCTCTAATTCTCACTTTCTTGTGTTTTTGTGAGTAATTATACCATATTTGTTGTCAAACATGATTAATTTGAATTATTTGCCTCTTAAATGACTTGATGTTGTATATGAAGCATGCAATTATGTGTAATTATTGAATTGTATAAAAAGCATGCTTAATTATTGAATTATCTATATTATTGTGTTGATAAAATTTGCTAGAAATGATACATGGAAGCTTATGAAAATTTTCGTAGAATTATTGTAAAACTTGCTTATTTGTGGAGTATGAAATTCCTGATTGCAAATTTGCTAGAAATGATACATGAAAGCTTATGAAAATTTTCTTAGAATTATTGTAAAACTTGCTTATTTGTGGAGTGTGAAATTCCTTATTGCAAATTTGCTAGAAATGATACATGGAAGCTTATGGAAATTTTCTTAGAATTATTATAAAACTTGCTTATTTGTGGAGTATGAAATTCCTTATTGCAAATTTGCTAGAAATGATACATGGAAACTTATGGAATTTTTCTTAGAACTATTGTAAAACTTGTTTATTTATGGAGTATGAAATTCCTTATTGCCCTAGTATTGTATACATGAGACGTACATGCATATCATGCGGCATGAATGAAGGGAAATGGTTTTTTAACAAATGAAAAAGGGATTTTGGAAAAATGTTTTGGTTAAAGAGATATTGAGAAAACCCGGTCGCCGCAAAGTCACCAAAGGGCCGGTATGTTAATATAGCCTAGAGGGAACTAAGGGGATTGCCCTAACGTGGTTGAGCTATCTAGGCCCCAAATGACGCTGTGGGGTTACCAAAGGTCAGGGACAGTAGCCGATCCTTCTCTCGTGTCGTTGTGGAGTTACCAAAGGGCGGGTTATATTAACAGTTTGTGAAGCGATGGATGTTTTTTTTTTTTTAAAAATGGGGAGTGACATGCATGGCACTGCATTCATGGCATATCATTTACTTGTTTTGAACTTGAAATTGGTATTGTATTTCTTTCCGGCTTTGCATGACCCCAATTCCTATTGTCCTATTCATTGTTTAGATTCTCGGGGCTACAAGAGGTAAGTCTTAGGCACCACTTACTGAGCAACCCCATTTTATTTAACATTTTTCAGGGCCGGGAAAGGAAATAGTGGATGCCAATCCCTCTCAAGCATGAGGAGGACTAGAGATCTATTTTGTAACTTTTTGTGTTTTAGCTAATCTTTGTAAAGTCTCAAATCATGGAAAAGAATATTTATTTTTTTGTAATCATGGCCATGTAACATAACTAAGATACTTGACTATTTTTGGATGTAAATTGAGACTATGAGAATGCTTAAGTTGAGTAGGAGGTTGATGTTATGTCTTTGAGAAATTAGTAATAGTTATATATGTGTAATGTGGTACATTTTGCCGTGAATTCAGAAAGATTAGATAAATTCTGAAGGTCCAAGAGAGGCCATTGCATTTTTTTTATGCATTTAAGCATGTTGGTGTAGGACCCTTTTTAGCAGAGGTCATGTCGATTTTTTTTAAAAATTGGCATTAGTTTAGGGTCGTTATAAGAAAGTCTTTCAATCATTATGTTATATTCATATATCATCATATACATTCAGGTTCATCATATATCCTTGTATCAATTTGTCTAACTAGGTGAATGAAACAACTTGGACACCATGAATCTATGCAAAACATTGCCAAAAACATCATAGAATGAGAAATTCTATAAACTCTTGGTCCCATAAATATTGACATATTGTGCAGATATTGTTAGCTTTGAGCCACACAAGGGCTCACAGTTTTCAAAACGTGTTTACGCACGTAGGAGACATTCCCCTTATAAGTGTCAATAACTTCATTGGTTTGCCGAAATAGAAAGTCCTTCAATCATTATGTTATATTCATAACATCATATACATTCAGGTTCATCATCCTTGTATCAACCTATCTAATTAGTTGAATAAAACAACTTGGACACCATGAATCTATGCAAAACATTGCCCAAAACATCATAGAATTCGGAAAGGTTAGATAAATTCTGAAGGTCCAAGAGAGACCATTGCATTTTTTTATGCATTTAAGCAGGTTGACGTATGACCCTTTTTAGCATAGGTCATACCAAATTTTTTTAAAATTAGCATCAGTTTAGGGTCGTTACAAATTTGGTCTCAGAGCAATGGTTCGAATACCATTAGGACGATGGGTAAAGGCCTACCTAGGATTGCATGGGAAGTTGAATTGCATGTTTATATGCTTATGTGCTAAGTGTTTAATTTTTTGAAAAGCATGCCTAATAGCTTACTTGCTTACCTGCTTAGGTGTTAATTATTTGTTGAGTTAAAGCATGCTTAAGTATTTAATGATAAGTGACAATATTTATGAGATTAATTCCATGGTTAAATTTTTAAAACATACTAAAATGACAAGGTTCCATTAGAAGTCCTTTCCCTAGAGACTGGTAACAGTGATAGGGTTTGATCTTAGTTGTGTTTCGGGACGGAAGTTCTCATTTTCTTGCACGGGCGAGAGTTTGTGTTGTGTTTCCTTGGTGTAGTGAGTGAACTCTTGGGATAATGGGTTAGTAGGGCATGGTGTGTGAGTCATGGGACCCTTTTATGTAAGCAAAGTTGATTAGATATCATAGGACGTGAAGTGGTATGCAATGTATGGCTTGTAAGGTTTAGGTGTTGTAGGGGTTAAGCAAGATTTGTATTTGGATTTTTATTTAGAAGTTCACTGATGTTAAGGTTGAGAGTTTGTCTCTTAGATTGCCGTTTTGGGAGTAAGAGTCGAGGTTGACCTTTAGTTGGTGACGAGATGAGTATGTTGCACCTTTTGTTTTGATTTTCAGTGAGGAAGGCAGAAGCTTAATGTGATGTTGTTTGGTGACCATAAAGTGTTGGTCACAGATTGTGTTGAGCCAGGATAAAGAGTGACCTCTTGGGCTTGGCGGCCTGTTCTATTTGATTTCTTTGTTTTATGGCCCTGTGGGCGGGTCTGCGTGAGCGTGTGCAGGTGGCACCAGAAGGCTACCACACTAGGCGAGCTATGGGCACACAACTCAAATGAAATCGATGTGGACATTTCATTGTGTTGGATGGTAATCATAGCGATTGGTTAGGAAATGATAGTGTTGGGGGTGTAAGAGTTGTATACCCTTTTGTTTGGTCGGATAGGTCAGCTGTAGGTATGACTTGAGTGTCCAGTTAGATACCAATAAGAGACCACAGTTTTGTAGTTGTCATAGAGTGTAGTTTGTGTGGTTGACTATTTGGCGTGGTGTCTATTGTCCTTCTTAAGGATTGTTCATGTAGCGTTGCTGCGTAGGATTCTTATTTTTTTGTAACGGGTTGTTGACTATGGTGTCGCGTATCATGAGTGATGTGTGTTTTTATGTCGAGTTAGCATCACTTTTGAATGAGCGGTTGGTAGTGGAGGCTTGTTGTTTCCAAAGGATTGAAGTTTATGTAGTTATTTTGGGAAGGATGATCATGGGGGTATTAGTACTTGAGGTTCCTGTATTATAGAGTAAGTCAGTTCAGGGGTGACCCCAGTATTCAAGAAGAAAGTGGTGATTGATTGCGTTATTGATGGTTTTAAGGAGACAGTTGGGTGTTGAGCATTTTGAATTTTTAAGCTCATTTTTGTTTGAGGATTTGTTGGCATGGCATTACCGTATGGATGCTCTTTTCTAGTGGTAAATAGTGGTTATTATAGAGAGTAGTGAGAGTTATGCTTGTTCTTTTGTTACGATGATATTATCTTAAGGATGTTCGAGGAAAAAAAATAAAAAACCTTTAGTAGTGATTTGATGGTCTGATGGGATAATAGGTTTAAATGGTTGTTGGAATGAGTGACAGTGGAGGTGTTATGGTGTCATGGTGTGATGTTTAGTGCCGATGAGCAGGACGGTTTAATGTGTGTTGTTTGTTATATGTTGATAGATATGTGATGGGATTATGCGCCAATTAAGGTGATTGTGGATGGCTTAGTTTTTTTGAACCAGCGAGAGTGGTGTTGCCGAATAGGCACCTTTTTTTTTTTTTTTTTTTTCTTTCTTTTGAAGAATCAATGGATTGTTGTGACTGGGGTCACAGGTCTTGTGTGCGCGGTGTTTGAGGTGATGTCATTTTGAAGGGTGAAAGTGGAATGGGTGGTAAAGTGTCATTTTATGAGGTTGTCAATTAGTGATAGTTTCCAGATAGGACGGAATGCAGTGTCCAAAGTGCCATAATTGTTTCTAGTGATCGAGTGTCGTGAGCATTAGTGCTCTTATCTGGTTAGTTTTGGTTGGCATGAGTATCGTGATGTA